TTGTACAGGGACCCGAGGGCATGGGGAGGGTGGAAGGGAGGGGAGAGTGTTTTACAGATGAGGAGACTGAGGCACGGCTTAAGTGACTTGGCTGGTTGAAAGGGGAGAAGGTGGTAAAGAGGGGAGGTGGGACTCAGTGGACAGGGAGAATTCTGATGATTGCTTATGAGTTACTGAGGCTTTTTAGTGAATTTTTTTGAGGAGTGAAATAAAGATGGTCCTGAACCTGATAGCTATTATTATTCTTAGTGCTTGTGGGGGAGCTAGCAGCCCTATTATCCACATCCATGGAGACCAATATTCAGAGATTTTTCCCAAAGCAAACTCTGAATAAGAGCAAAATGGAACAAAGAAACGTGACGAGGGTTGGGGGGAGGCTGCCTGAAGATTAGTCTTGGTCTAGGTAAGACCAGAGCTTTGGTGCTTCAATGTAACCTGGGGTCCAGGTTACGCTGAAATGGAATTGGCTTGTGGTTGATTGACTGCTAGGTAGCACATAAACTCCGAATTGAGAGAACTTCCCCAACTTTGTAGCTTCGTTTTGTGTTCTGCATACCTGGTTTCTGTTTTGTATTGCAGAGAAATAGGAAGGTTTTTTTTCCCCTTTACCATTGTTTGGGCTTTAACAGATGTTGGTTGACTTTGGAAGTTGCCTGCCCTGCTGTAAGATAAGGCTGCTGAATCATGCTGAGGCATGGACTCGGACAAACAGGGAGGTAATTGGAAACATCTGGGCAGGTGGTGACTTCCCATTGAGTTTTCTAAGAGGCAGAGAAGCAGCAGAGAGGGGAGGGGGTCAGGCTGGTCCAGGAGAAGGGGAGACACAGCTGAGCCAGAGCTGCTGTTGCCTGAGAGAGATGAGGGCCAGTGGATATGGGTGGGTGGGGGAAGTGGACAGAGGTGGGGAGAGGATGGTGTGATGCTCTTGGTTGTGTCACTGTGGGCTACACACTCTGGGACCTCGCTTGTTTGTTAGCCCAGAGAGGTTGTAAGTGATGGAAAAGCCAGAAGGAAAACCTGCAGCTCTTAGAAATCATCTCCCACAACTCTTAATAGTGAGCACCAGTGTGAACATCTGCCTCAGTGATTAATTATGCCCTGCCCTACGTCCCCTCATCTTCGTTGTTCATAGATCTTTTACTAAACATTCACTTCTGTTGTCTTTTTATCTAAGCTCTGGGAGGACATAGAATGGGCTGCATGCTTCTCTGTTTCCCCCTACAGTGCCTGGACCAGTGCCTTGCAAAATTTGTGTTCATTTGCTAAAACGGAAGTCTTATAATTCTTGAGTTAATTGAGAGGTTTTTTTCATCTTCTCATAAGACTTCTGGCCACACAGTGTATTGATGACAACTAGAAGAAGAGGACAAAGGAAAACCACACATGGTTTTTGAACCTCTCTCCCTTCCCCTCCCTCAAGTCCATCCTACCTGAAAGCAGATGCTTCCAGCAGCCACCATCTCAACTCCACTGATCCTGGTCTGGCTGAGGATCTCCTTGGGGTCTGCTAGGCTCCCCAAGGCTTCATCTGTGCCACTCCCATTCACTTTGCTCAACTGTCACTGGCCACTACTCTTGGCTGAAGCTCAGCTGCTTGTCTGATGCTCCCTCTCCATGTCTGTGGCCCATTTGGTGGCTCTCTTTCTCCTTTACCTCCCTCCTTCCTCCTCTGTGGGTTTTCTCTCTCCCTTCCCTCTTTTTCTCTGCATTGCTTCTCACTCCCTATTGTTCTCACATTTAGTCACCTAGAATCTCTCTTTTGTTTCTGTCTCTCTGGCTGTGTCTCTCTTGGGCTGTTCTCCCTCTTCCAGGGTTTTCTCTCTAGCTGGGTGTATCCTCTCTCTATGGATTCTTTTTGGTTCTTTCTTTTGGATTTCTTTCTTGTTCTCCCTTTCTGGGTTCTCTTTTAGCTGTCTTTTTCCCATTCTCTTTTACTCTGAATTCTCTTGCTGATCTCTCTCTCTTTTTCTCTCTCTCTCTTTCCCCTCTCCTCCCTCTTTCTGTTTTGGGTTCTTCTCTTTCTATTTCTGTTTTTTTTTGACCCTCAGTAGTCCAGTGTTACTTTTTCTCCTTCCAACCCCAGGCTATGTGGGCCACAGCTTCTTAGGTCTCTGATGTTTCCCACCCATAGGACTGCTTGTCATCCAGAGGGAGATTTTCACATACCCTTTAAATGAGAATGAATTTGTTATTTGTATTGCTGATAACAGCTCAGTTCTGTATATGAAACATTGGTCAGTATGATGTGAAATGCAGATTTAATAGCATTTAATAGTAAGGAGGACCTCAAGAATTCAACTGATCTCACCCCTCCCTTTGGACATATACAGTGATCCTCCTTAGTCTCACTCCATTAATCTATAAAATGGCAGTGACTCATCCATGTTCATATAGCTTGTAAGTAGTAGAAGAGAAACTGGAACCCACATCTCTCCCTACCCAGTGCAGCATTTTTTCCCAGCATGCTAGGCTGTCTCTCATGTCTCTGGGTTTCTCAGTTGTTAGGGGATGAAAGGAAGCTTAAACCATGATATTTGCTATACTGTTATTACCAGAAGATGTGCGGATCACCAGGGGACAGGGGGTCAGCTACTTTGATATCTGGGATATCTTTGGTGTGAGTCCTCTCTTCAAAGGGACAGATCAATCTAGAATTTATTAAGTACTTATTTTATTCCAGGCACTGTGGTATTAGTGGAGGGTACAAAGACAAAAGCAAAACAGCTTCTGCCCTCAGGGAGCTTAAATTCTAGCAGGAATATCATATGCACATATATAGTTATATATAAAATACAAGTAACATATATTTGTATTTCTCTCTCTCTCTCTCTCTCTCTCTCTCTCTCTCTCTCATAGTTGCGTAATATAGAGATATGACTGGCCCATGTGTGGCATGGGTAGATACATCATATCTGGACGCTGGCTTATCATAACTACATCTAAGCGAGACTATAATTTCTGCTCTGTGGAGAGTGGAAGAAGGATTGTGCATGCACCAGCAGGAGCCTACCTGGGTAATGCAGGCAGGAGCTAGGGCTAATGTGGCTGGGCAATCTCTCCTTCACTCTTCTATGTCTAAGAGGGGCACCAGGCTAGGCTTATATCTATCTACTAGATATAAAATATCTATAATCTAGGGGTATGTTGCTCTCTCTTAGGGGTTTAAATTAAGAGGCACTTTCCCTGAATGCTCTAAAAGAGAAGGTAACTCTTAGCTTGTTGCTCTTGTTAGCCTAGCTCTCTCCCACCAAATGCTGGGTATACAACCATCAATAGTTAGTAAGCCCCTTAAAAAAATTAAAACAAGCATTATATAGAAATTGAAGAAATTATGCCAGTTAGATTAAACAAAAGAATACACAGGAGTCAATGTGATCTTTGGGAGCAAGATAAGAGGTCATCTCTGTGAAGGAGAGGCCAGTTTCACCAGGGAGAGTCTGCTCTTGGCAGTTTCTAGGGTTTCTGACACTGGGAGTCAAGGGACAGACTAGAACTTCTAGATCCAAGTGGATGGTGTCTCTGCAAAGTCGTCCCCTTGGGTGACTGTGCACTTACTCCAGTGTTGCTGTTCTTGCTTAAGACACTTTGGGGAGCTCTTAAGTTCAACTCGACATTTATTCTCTACCTCCTACATTGCACTATGTCAGACGCTGGGGTGACAAAGACAAACATGGAGCTATCCTTGTTCTTCTGGAGTTTACTTTCTTCTGGAATTGACTCTTCCATGAATTTCCTTTGGAGCTATTTTTTTTGGGCTCAGAAGGAAACCAGTCTCATTTTCCCCGTTAAAGCTACTTTCCTTCTGACCTAAAGTGGAATCATGTGGCTTGGCCTCTCAATCTCACTCATCCATTTTGGTGCTGAACCACTTTTGGCTTTCCCTCAAATCAAATTCACCATTGAAAGTGGACAGTTTCCAACCAGGATTAAAAGAACGTGCCGCAGGCCCTGAAGGCAGTTTCAAAAGTGTCCTAAGTGACAAGAACCTCATGGGAATGAGGCTTCCAATAACTTAGATGTTTTCATTTGAGCAGAATGTAAGCTCCTCAAGGGCAGGGACAGGTTTGTTTTGTCTCTGTGTCCCCAGGGCCTAGAGCAGTGCCTGGCACATATAGGTGCTTTTTGAACAGAATTTTTGGTGATTTCTTGTTATGTTGCCTGATGCCCATTTCACTCACATGAACGGATGCAAGTGCCAAGGTATCATTGTTTTGTATCTTCAGAACAAATATTGTGAATTAACTGCCTACAAGTCAGTGGTGATAGATTCTTTGGTGAGAGAAATCCAAGACACAGTTTGTGCTTTACAGAATTTTACTAGAATTTGCAGTCTAGCTGGGAGTTGATTCTTACACATGTATCAATGAAGTCCAGTAATTCAACAAAGGCGTATTAAGCACCTTCTGTGTGTAGATTTCTTGGGCTTAAGCCTGGAGCAGGTACTCTGAGATCCAGCAACACCCACCTTCTTGCTCTTTCTCCTATGTGCTTTTTCCCCATCTCCCAATGCTATGCCTTTGCACTGGCTGTGCCTCATGCCTAGAATGCTCTCCCTTCTCGCTTATGTTTTGTGGCTTTCTTGGCTTCCTTTAAGTCCCAGCTCAAACCCTACCTTCCACAAGAGGCTTTTTTCTAATCCTTCCCTCTGAGATTACCTCCATTTAAAATTGTATATGTGTGATGATTGTGCTTTCCTCACCCTAAATATTATACAAACTTTGAGTTAATAGTTTAAGCGAACTAAGAGTTCTGTGTACCAAAGGGGGTAAAGCTTAGATTTTGGTTTTTCTTTTTTTGATTTCCAGTTTATCAAGCTTCTTCAGTGCTGTAGATGTTGCAATGCTTGTGGGTCTCTGCTGTAATAAGGAACTGATTTTTTTTCCTCTGAAGGTACTTTCTGTTGAGTTAAGTTCGATTCTGTTAAGCACAATTTGCTTGCATTGTATCTTTGTGTTGATTTTTTGCTTCTTTTTTTGTTTTTCATTGGCCATGCCGTTCAGTTTTTGGATGCCAGGAGAACAAAGGTTTGTCCACTCTTTGCAAGTCATTTGTTTTGCTAAGCCTAGCCCCTCCTCATCCGTTGGGTGTGTTTGTGTGTGAATTTGTTTTCCTTTGGCTTACAGATCCAGTAATCCTGTTTCCTAAGCTTGTCTGCAGATTTGTCCTTGTGAAGGCATCTTTGTGTCCACACCTTAGGAACGCTGTTATTGGCACCAATGTGTGACCATTTATCTCTGAAAAAGAAGAGATGGGAGGAAGGGATCTTGGATTTTGGTCAACATAAGGGGCTTCATCCAGCAATGCTGATAGAAGATACTGACCCAATGATGACTTAGTATCTAAGACACATAGACACTGTCTTTTGGGCCCTTTTGTATTTGGACCTGCTCCAGAGTTAAGTGACTTATCCAGGGTCACACAGCTAGTCAGTGTCAGAAGCAGCAGGGGCTAAGCCTTGTGATTCCTACCTCTTAAGGCTGACATTATAACAAGGGCATTTTTTTTTTTGCATCATGGACCCATTGGGCAGGCAGTCTGGTGAAGCCTGTGGACCCCTTCTCAGGATCATATTTTTAAATGCATAGAAGTAAAGTGCACAAGGTTACAAAGGAAGCCTACTATGTTAAAATACAGTATATGTTACATGTATACTGTATATATATGATAAATATACACAGTATAAATACTCCATCTATTTACCACATACACACAAATGCATATACATCATAATACATACACACACACACAGACCCCGGGGTAAGAACCCTTGCTCTGTAGTCTTTACTGAATGACTTAGAAAACAAGGAATGCTGAGTCTTTGAGCTTTGTGGACATCTAGAAGGTCTATGTGTGGATGTTTCACTTTTAACCCTTTCTACCACCTAACTTACAATTTTTTTTTTGGTTTATTTCACTTGTAACCGACACTAACAGCATTTTTTGTGTGTATGTGTGCATTATATTTTCCCAAGACATCTGACAAGTGTCAACTAATTTTCCACATTTCCATTTGCTAATAACACAACTGAGGCCATTTGGTAAGACTCCATCCCGGGTTCTCTGGATCTCATGACTAACATGACATGTTCACATTGGGCAAAAGTGGGAACATCTTTTGGATCTGTACTGATTCTCCCTCCCCCTCTTCTCTTGCTTCTTACTCCACTGTAGCACCTGCAGTTGACAATCCAGGCTCTTCAGGATGAGCTCCGAACCCAGAGAGACCTTAATCATCTCCTCCAACAGGAGAGTGGCAATCGTGGAGCTGAGCACTTCACCATCGAGCTGACAGAGGAGAATTTCCGAAGGCTCCAAGCTGAGCATGACCGCCAGGCCAAAGAGTTGTTCCTCCTGCGGAAGACCTTAGAAGAGATGGAGCTGAGGATCGAAACCCAGAAACAGACCCTCAATGCCCGCGATGAATCCATCAAAAAACTCCTAGAAATGTTACAAAGCAAAGGTTTGCCTTCGAAAGGCATGGAAGATGACAATGAGAGAACCCGAAGGATGGCTGAGGCAGAATCTCAGGTGAACCATTTAGAAGTGATCTTAGACCAGAAGGAGAAGGAAAACATCCATCTGAGAGAGGTAAGGGCAGTACTGTTGCTTCTGATTGTATCAATGATGGGGATAACATCTGGGTCATTTTTCCATCTTGGAAGGTAGTGGTGGCTTTTTCCCTTGGGGCATCCATTTCCTACCCTCCATGCCTTCTTATTGGCTTAGGACAAGCATGTCTTGAACTGCATATTCATACTTTAGTTGGTGTGTACTTAATAAGAACCCAAGACTGGGAAGAACATGTTATGGTAAGATTGGTTACAACGGCCCTCCACCCCCCCGCAGTAGTCTTACTTTCAGCATCGATTCCCTATGGCTCTAGAAATTGGCAAGTTTCAACTCTTCATCCAATCTCAGGGCCAGTAGGGAACATAGGTAATTGGCCAAACAATGAGTGCAAATATTTTTACAGCTGAATTTGCTAGGCAGGAAGCACACTCCATGCATGGGCCCAGGATGACTGACAAATGAAGTGGTGTGGCTGTATTTTGAATGTTATCTCTTTAGGGTAATCTACATTTACTTCTGTCAAAGGCAAACCATTCCCCAGTTGTCTCTCTCTGCTTTCTTCTCTTGGTATGTTATTTACATACCTTTGGTGATTCTCCTTCAGTGAATGCAAGGCTTCTTCCAGGCTTCCATGACTTATTCAGTGATTTAATCAGATTTTACTGAGTGCCTGCTCCATGCCTGGCATGATGCTTGGTGGTAGAGATAAGACAGCTGTGAGACGGCCAGTGCGTTCCAAGTGCTCACATTCCAGCAGGGGAGACAGCATTGATGTGTCTATGAAGAGGCAGATCACATAGAAAGCTGGTGCAAAGTCACCATGTGGGGAGTGGAGTTAGCAGCTGAGGAGCCTAGAAACCACAACAACCCACCAGGAAAGGTGCTTGAGCTGAATCTTAAAGGCAACTGAGGAATTCCAAGAGGTGGAGA